ATTACAACCCCTTCTACTTCCTGAGCGCCGCGGCTGCCGGCCCTGACTCGGGGGCGGCGCCCGGCTTCACCACCCCTGCTCCAGTCGCGGGCCTGGGACCTCGGGCTCCTCACGTGCAGGGATCCGTCCGGGCAGCCCCAGTGACGAGGGTGGGATCCGCCGCCCCTTCGCGAACCCCGAGCGAGAATGGGCGCCAGGCAGGTGAGAAGCGCGAGCGAGAGGTTGGGCGGAGAAGGGTCTTCAGGGAACTGTGGGGTACCAGAGGCAAGTTTATAGCATACAGCCGCGGCTGCCGCTACTGCGGTTGGTATTTCTCCGCGTGCTTCGGCTATCGTCTGCCCAGACCTTAAACACTGTACAGAGAGGCTATACAGTTTTTAATACCTTTAGACTTGGCACTCGGAATAGATTCCCTTGCTCCTGAGACTAATCGTTTCCTTGTGTAAAGAAATCTTTGCTCCTCGAACCACCCCCTTTGATTTCCTCGTTCTAGTGAATAAGATCCAAAGCTTATTTTTCTCAGATGGCAAACCTACATGGCGGGTGGCGTGGGGGAGTTGACTGGTAATGCTGGAAATAATCCGGACGTGATTTTATTATGTTATCTATATATTATAGAATATGATATAGGTAATATAGAATTAATATATTAATTATATTCCATATTACCCATATATTAAGGACAATGGAACTGGTGGACATAAAAGGAGATTTACATGAATACAAATGGAGTTCTGAACCTCTGGCTGGGTCCTGGCTGAATAATTTTGTATATTGTATGTTCTTTATGAGAATTAGAATATTTCGCATTAGTTACTTTTATTATTTAGAGTTTTTATTCAGCCACAGATGTATGGAACAAGAATTGGCCACACTGAATTTAATCTCATTTAGAATTTTGGATGACAGGTCGATTTAGAACATAGAAAGCAAGACTAAATGAATAGGAGGTTTTAAAATGAGGAACACAGGGATTTACTTTGTACTAATTGTCTATACTTTGATTTTTACTAAAATATGTTTAATTTTGTGTCATACGCTATGATCACCTGGATTCTCCTTATTACTAGGAGACCCTAGTAAAATGTGTTGAGTACCTTAAATAAATTTATGTGAAATTATTTTTTAAACATCGAGGTGAAAGCATACTTTAAACTTTTCACAAATAGTGTTGCTGTATTTTATTAACATGTATTATTGTACTACTGGTGGAGTCAGTGAGTCAATCCCAGTGATTGTTGCAAAGTTATAAATTTTATTAGCAAGCCGTACCTTGACTTTACATTCTTCATTTATTTACCTAGCTTGGGTTCCAAGGCATATGTGAAATGATTAGGTTTTTCTAACTTTTTTTTTTTTTTAATTTACAGGCAGAGAGTATGTTATTCCATCCTTGGCCCACAGATTTATGGCAGAAATGGTGGATTTCTTTATTCTCTTCTTTATAAAAGCAACCATTGTCTTAAGCATTATGCATCTCAGTGGAATAAAGTAAGTTAAGGCCATTTGCAGAAAGGTTTTAATGTCTTCTGTCTAAAGATCTTGTTTTGAAATTCTATTCATGCCTGCAAGTAACTACATGGATAATTGGTGGCCAGTGTCATGATTTCTTTATAAGAGCTGTGTCAGATTTGGTTTTATTCTCCTTGGTTTTAAGAAATGACTACAAAGGAGAGAAAAACACTTAATTCTGTAAGATCTGTGGGAATCTCACCTATTAAAATTAGGTAAAAAAGAGCCTCCAAACCTGGTTTAATTTTATTCAACTCTTTTCTTAGGCCAGGAACTCATTTCCCTCTTACTAGGCATAAAAAGTTTTTGGTAGATGAACTATATTAATAATCAGCTAGATGGCATTTCCAAATATGATTGTTTATACTATCAGGCAAGTTTCAAGTGAACTGCAAAGCGATCCATTTATGTGAATAATAATCTTTTCAGATTAATAATCATAATAGCAGTTGTCACTTGCTAAGTACTTTCTACATGCTAGACATAGGTTGACCTCACCTCTTTATATGGATTTTTATTTAATCCTACCACCACTATGAGCTGTAGAGGTTAATACCTCCATTTTATAGATTGAAATTTGGGTTTACAGGAAGCCCAGAATTGACCAAGTTACAAAGGTAGTAAGTGACAGTCAAGATACAAACCCTTGTAGTCAAATTTCAGGGCCCTTGCGAGGAACCTGAGTTTTACGGTGATTCCTTTCTGTCTCTCCCTCTCCTACCCCTACATTTCCAATCAAATACCAGCTCCTTTCTGTTGAATCTCCTGAATAGCCCAAAACATTCCCTCTTCACTCTCGGGCCATTTTTCTTCATTATTGCTTCTCCAGTTACTGTCATCTCCTATTTGCATTATAGCAAAAGTCTTCTAACTGGTATCTCAGTCTCCTGTATTATCTCAGTCCAATCTATGATATAGAACCAAAGAGATCATAAATTGATTTTGTTCCTCTCCTGCCTTAAAACCCTTCAATGGTTTCTCATTGCCATCAGGATGAAGTCTTATCTTCATGTGGTTTAACAGATGCCCTTGCTTCTTAATCACTGTCACCCCTCATACTTAGTATTTGAGACATACCAAACTGCTTACAGCTTCCATCACACTCTTGTTCCAAGGCTTGCTTTCTTTGTAGTCCCTCTCTCTGATACTTCTCCCTTATTAGTCTGGCTAACTTCTCTTCATCCTTCAAATCTCAGCAAAAATGTCATAAAATGGGATGCCTTCACAAGTTCTCATCCCATTTTATTATTTTGTTCTGCTTTCTCTGCGTGGTTAAAATCTCCATGAAAGCAGAGACCATGTTGAGTTCACTCACCATTATATTCCCAGGGCTAGTATAGTGCCTGCTTATGCTAGTGCTGCTTATTTGTTGAATACGCTAATGAGTGTTTTATAAAACTAGATGGTTGAAAACCTAAAGATTAGGTTAGAATTTCAGTTAAAATTTATGACTTATACTAACAAACAAAAAATACAACTGCTTGATAACTAATTCTTAATAACCCAAAACTATTATTTTGTGTAGGGATATCTCTAAGTTTGCTATGCATTATATAATAGAAGAAATAGATGAAGACACATCAATGGAAGACTTGCAGAAAATGATGGTTGTGGCTCTTATATACAGATTATTAGTTTGTTTCTATGAGGTAAGCTACTGACTTCAGCAAATGTTAATATTTAATAATCTAACTTTAGATTATCAGCCCAAGATAAAAAGGTTTTCTTTAACAATACTTCTCAAGTTTAAAAAACAAACAAACAAAAACAACGTTCTGAGTGGAGACATTTTATAATTTCTTTGTAGTATATTTTCAGTCTCATGGTCCAAAAATATACTTGTAATTGATTGTGGAACTTGAAATGTTTTTCCATAGAAACAACTTGCTAAAAAATATAACGGGTCATAGAGAAATATTACAGTAGACATCTGATGGTATTAAAGACATTAGAGACTTGCAGAAATGCATTAAAAGGTTAACCTTTGATATTCTGTGAAAGTCAACTTGAAATTTTTAAGACATGAATAATATGGCAACTTACTTTTAAAGGAAGACTTACCTTTAAAATTGGTTTAGTTGAGTTAGTAAATTATTTTTAAATTATCCTCTTTCCTTAGATAATTTGCATTTGGGGAGCAGGTGGAGCTACCCCAGGGAAGTTCCTGCTGGGGCTTCGAGTTGTGACATGTGATACATCAGTGCTTATTGCACCGAGTCGGGTTTTAGTGATTCCTTCCTCAAATGTTAGCATCACAACGTAAGTTCTTTCCTTAACTTAATCCACTATGTACTTAAAATAATGCTTTATTTTCTCGATAGTGTTCTTTCTTGATAGAATATTATTCATTTATATGTGGTTGTTATACTTTATAGTAATCAATATAATTCATAAGTTATACCATTTGACATAGTATTTTTAAGATGTTGGTATTTTTTCTTCAAGGCATAGAGTAAATAGGCTTACATTAAGGGTAAAACAAAGTTTGAGTATTTTTCAGTTATATTAATATGATTGTAGACCCCCTCTTCAGTATACATTTTCAAGAGAAACATTTTATGAAATAAAAGTCACAATAATGAGAGGGCAATTTGAATGTTGATGCTACTTACGTCAGTACTCCATGCCTAGCTTTATTATTCTCTAGATCTGCGGATATTGGGTCAGTTGCTGATCTTCTTTGAGCCTGTCATTATCCCATCTTGGATAGGCAGTAAGAGTTTTGATAACTGAATGCACACATTCTGCCCTCCCCCCACCCCTTTGTAATACTCCCAGTACTCATGGCTAGCTGTTGGCATCTGGCTCTAGGGGAAGGTACACATAGTGATAATGGAAGTTGGGGAGGTGAGTAGGTGGTAATCAGTTGAGCAAAACAAGATACTGGCAGGAATAATTGCCAGAATGATTCAGAGCTGGATTATTATATAAAGAAATATAAATGAAAGACTCTAAAAACCTTGATTTCGCTGAGATCCTCAAAATTTCCTTACAATTTTGTGTTTATAATAATCCTGGCTGCTAATTTTAATGAGTCAATAATGACTAATGTTTATTGAGCTCCTCTTATAAACACTATGTATGTATTAACTAACTAAATCCTAACCTTATGATAGGTACTATAGGTACTATTATCTCCTTTTTACAGATGTGTAATACAATTAATGACTGGTAGAAATGGATCTGAAACCAACTAGTCTGGATTCAGAGCCCACACTCTTAGCCACGGTGCTTTTCTATAGTCTCTCAGTGCGCTAAAAGGCAGAAATCTAACATAAAGTAGGATAATTCTCCATTCTAAGCTATTGTCGAAAAAAAATTTTTAAGCTTTTTTAAATCACAGGATACCACAAGAACAAGCTGATAAAAGAATATACAGTAATTTAAAATGCTAGTGCTTCATAGAAGGTAGAAAATGGGACTGCAGGAAACATACTCAATTTAGAAGATACTAAAAACAGGAATGAGTGATGATAGAAAAGATAAAGGAATAGTTACTTTCTTCTGGCAAAATGCTATAAACTTTAGGTCCTATATAACTGCTTTTAATGTGAAAGTTCTAGTCTTTTATATTGATAAAGTCTTTAGAACTACCCGAGATAGTTTGATCATAATATAATGATACAAAGGTAAAAATTCTCTCAACTGTACTTTGAATGTTTTAAATACATATTTTGAACTTGATAGAATACTGTTCATCTGTATGTGGTTGGTATACAATTTATCTGATATTTTTTGCTTTGTTTTTTAATTTTAGGTCCACTATACGAGCTTTGATCAAGAATTTTTCTATTGCTTCTTTTTTCCCTGCTTTCATCACGCTGCTGTTTTTTCAGCATAATCGAACAGCCTATGACATTGTAGCAGGAACTATTGTGGTAAAAAGAAATGGGGTCAGATGATGCCTCAAAAAGCCCTGAATTCCATACTCTCTGGAATAATGATGAGACTAAATTATGTATCAAGGCCATCAGTATCCCTGGGTTACGTTAATTGATGATTTAGAAATTAAAGCAGTCACTCCAGTGTGATGCAGGTGACTATTCTGAAAGTATTGATTTTACTTGAATGCCAAAGAACTTTGCCAGAAGAAAACCTGTTAAATTCAAGTGTTAAAATTTTAGATTGAAAAGAAGGCAAGTGGTCTTATAATCAACAATGGACAATATATGCTAAGATCTAAGGCATTAGAATTTGCTGAAAGCATTTTCAGCTTTGAAATCTCCAAATGAAACTTAATTTTGGTTTATCCCAAAATGATGGAAAACATCCAGTTGTGTTTTGTAAACACATTACTCATCTTTCAGTTAACACTTCTTGGGGAAATTGTTCTTTGCTTTTTGCTGAGAGGGAGTGGGGATACAACTCTAATCCACTTATCTCCCAGCCCAGGAGGCATATGTTAGAGGCAAGAGAAAGGGGCAAGTGAGACAGGCCTAGCACTTCCCTTACCTGAAGTTTTAAAATCTGTACTGCAGTTTACTGTAGGAATGATGTAACTTTACAACTATTCTTAATGCATAAACATGTATTTGGGGGCAAGTTTGCATGATGATGAAAAAGTATTGTCATTGCTATATTAATATTTATTAAAGAAAAGGTAAGTTAGTTATTGCTTTTAATAGGGGGGGAGAGTAAATTTTCACTGTAAATTTAACTAAAAATTCATGTGCAAGTATTTTCAGTGCCCTAAATCAATATAAGTATGTGGGGAAAAATTCCATCAAACTGTTGCATATTTACTGTAAAACATTATTCCCAGTATGTGTGCAGCATGAAGAAAGTATTAGTGCTTTTCAGTATTCTGAGTATTAACTTCTATTTATACGCAAGATATTCACATTAGTCTTTTTATATTTTATATAGTTCCATAACATTTGAAACATCAAGGAGTTAAATCTTAGTATTTCATGATTAAATACTGGTAGCCTGTGAAATATTAGCAATTTTCCCATTATGGACTGTTCTAAAACAAGGAAGAGTAGCATTTCCAGACATTATTCTAAGGTCTTTGGATCTATGGGCCAAAAGCTTTTATTTTGGGCTTGCCATGGATGATGTTTTGAGGAAAATGTTAAGCAAAGGAATACTTTGTGTACTGCCATTTTAATTTATTTTATTGAAGCAGAGTTGTGGAGTTTCAAGTGTGTGAGCATGCTTTTGTTAGATGGCCCAATTAGCTGTATTGAGATATACCTGAACTAAGTTTTGTTTCTTATGCATTTTCTCCAACTCTGATATTATCGCCGCCCCCCCCCCCAAAAAAAACAAAAAAACACTAAATTGTGTTGGACAGTTTCAAGGATCAATCTAGGCTTTAGTTTTGGTTTTATTAGCAAATGCAAGACATTTATTACCATTATCAATTTTTAAAGTGATTTTTTTGATATTTAAAACTGAAAATGTTCACATTTGATAGTTATAGAAACCTTAACGGTGTCCTTATTAATACCTTTTTATTGTAAAACTTCATAAACCATGTTTTCCAAAATAATTTATTAAATTCAACATTACAGAAAGCCTATCAGTTAAAGTGTGTCAAAGTATTATTAAACAGATCATTCACTTGTAGCCTCTGGAGTTAAGTGTCATGGCCCTTCACAGTAAGTAAAAATAAATAAAACTAAAGTTTTATTAGACTAGAAATTAGGAAATGTCACATAAGTTTACCATTTATACATTAGCATTACCTGTATACACTATTTTTTTCAGTGATTGGGAATTCAAGTTGAAATGTCCTTCAGTCATGTAACTCTGGAATTTATCTTGAATGTATTATTTCCCCTCAGATAATTGATTGGTTTACCATCTAGGCTATTTATTTTTATAGTAAAACAAAAGCAAATAAGTAGTACAGTTTGTTATACTTAAAATACTGCACATTTTCTACATATGTCATTCAGATTATTATCTGTATAGGCTCATTTTGATCCATCTCAGGATTCAAGTTATACTACATAGCCCTATAAAATAAACATAAGTATTATTATTTCGTCTGCTTTTAAAACAAAAAAGTCCAAGTCTTTCTATTTATGAATTCAGCACCAGGAAGAGATTTTGATTCCCACATCATTGGAAGAAAGAAAAAAATGACATAACAGTGGAAAGCCATATTTTTTCTCTTGGGTCGTAAAGAATGGAGAATCCCTCTTTTCAAAAACACTTTTCTATTTAATATGTCATTTATAGAAATGCTGAAGCTCTAGCTTAAAAAGGCAAAAAGAAACTTGTCTTCATAGTACAAACATTATTCATCACTTTTACAACATAATAAGGTAACAAAAATTAGGAGTTGGACTAAGAATACTATTTCAATGAATGTGCCTAAATAAAACCACAGAACAAGCAGCTAACTTAGGCATCTAGAAAATTTCGGTACCCATTACTAAAGGTAGCCCAAGTGGCTAGTGCACCTTGACAAAGTCTTATATTAATATTCATGCTGGGCCTAGGGTAGGTAAGTGAATGATGGCAAGCCTTACTTTTAGACAAATCTGACTACAGATATTAAGCCACTACTTCTTTGGATAGCAAGCCTTTACAGTATTGCCCAACTGATACTTGTGTTGGACTGGTTCAGAAGTTACTTTCCTACATATTTACCTTCCAATTTTACTCAAATATTTAGGATTGAAAAGAACATATTTGAGGGCCACTTTGTCTAAATTATAAAAGTGAGTCTTCACTGTTTTGTTTCAAATGGTGGTAAAAATTTTGACTGAAAGATTTGTACCCTTAAATAACTTACACATAAGTATATCCAGTATACTAGAAAGGAGTTAAAAATTTATTTTCTACTTGGGAATAAAGGTTTGAGGGGAATAGGGACACTAAGTATGTTCATTCTACCCTTATCCCTATTAAAAACAGACTATTGTTTCTTTTGAAGGATATTTCTAAATAATAGTATTCCTAAAATCAGACAAGTATTTCAATTACTTGCCATTCCCCACCCCCATTTTACAATATGTACTTACCTGGATGAAGTGCATTTCAGACTCTGTATTTCCTTGCAGTTCATTATAGTAGGGCTTGACCCACAAACAGTATCTGATGGCCTGCCTTTAAATAAATTCAGCATTCTATTTTTAATAATTTGTATGCCACCAGTTTGTATTGTCTCAATAAATACTTGGTCACCAATGAATTTGTGTCTTGCCCATTTCTTTGAGAAAGTTTGCTCTAGAATCGTCTAAAGGAGACCTTGCTTCCAAATAGCTTTTCTAGCATTCTCTGTCTTTAGAATGGCTAGCAATCAACTCTAGTGCTTTCAGAAATCGAAGTCTAACAAAACAATCACCTGCTATTTGGGATATATTCTTTTAGCGAGTCACTCAAAAGTTAGTTACCCATAGATGACTAAGCTTAATGTTAAACTAATCGTGTCCTTAAAAGTTGTTAATCCATCCCAATTATTAAGATATTAAGGACCAATATTACACATGAGGAACCAGAAATTCAAAATCTCATAGCTAGTAAATGACTCAGCTGGGAAATTTAAACCTTGTTCTCATCTTAAAAGCATTTCTTATTCTAACCTTTAGACAACTCTAGAGGACAGGATACAAAACAGGTCCTTGAAGGGTAAAGATAGTAGATAAATGTAGTTAAACCATGGCCTGGTCCGAGTCCCATGGTGATGTGCTGCTATTTTGTTAGCCCAGCTACAAACTACATATTGTGGAATTACAGTGGACTTCTGTGATGTTTTAAAAAGTTGCCTATGAGAAGTGAAGACTCTGACATGATCATACAGGTGGTGTGTACAGCTAGACCCAACATACCTATTTCCTTTGTACCAAGTTTCTCAGTTTTCATTAAACACACGGCCTAATCTTTATAAAATTTCCAGAGTTTCAAACTTTAAACGGGCCCTGGAAATGTGCTACATGTTTCAGTCAACATGGACCATGTATACAACAGTGGTCACACAAGATTACAATAGAGCTAAAAATTCCTATTGCCTAGTGACATAGCCATCATGTATGCCATACATAGCACAATACAACTACTTACAGTAGTCTGTACAGTAACATGGTATACAGGTTTGTAGCTTAGGAGCAACAGGCTATTATACCATACAGGTTTGTGTAAGCACACAGCAAACTGCCTAACATTTCTCAGAAAGTACCCCCATCAGGGGATGCATGACTACTAATACAATACAAATTCTTCCCAAGCTAAATCAGGAAGTTTAAGGCCTGGTTATAAATTGTTAAAATTAGCCCAACACTTACTTCAAATAATAAAGTCCTAATTACGTAAATTTCAGGAGAGAATTTGTAGCCAATATTAAGTAGCTAGCTTAAAGATAAAATTTTTCCATTGTCTGAACTGTATTTTCTTAATGCTTGAAATCATTCATTTCAAAAACAACAACCTAACACTTAAATTGGCAAGTCTTCCAGGTGCTTATTTAATGAGGCAGATTTTTGGAACCTATCCAGATCCAGGTGAATGAATCTGATGAGGTCCTAGAATATATATTTGACACATCCCACCAAGTTGATATACATTCAGTGAGAACTACCAACCCTCTTGACCAAATTATACAAACATACCTGACTATTCAATATTTCTGCATATGGCTTTCCTCCCTTGAGATTTTCAGGTAAAAATGATTCCTCATTGGTTCAGCATTAGTTTTCCTTCCATAATGTTTCCCCTTCTTTAATAACAGCCCATAACAGAACATATAACCCCAGCCTACCCAAGGCTGCTGTTACAGCCACAAGGAGTGGATCAGAAGTGGGTCTGTAGTCTGAATCAGTCCAATAAGGAGATACCTATGATGGGTTGGAGTAGAGATAGACTGGAGTTTAGAGCTTCCACCTTAAGTGTACTCCAGGGCTGCCATGTGCAGCCTGAAAATTACAGCCATTGAGATGGGAAACACAGGTCCCAAGTTCTGAATACAGCCCTAGAGACTTTCGTTTTGGAGGCAAGTGAATTTCATTTGAGAGGTCACCTTAAGTATGGAAGTCACTTGTTTAAAAAAAAAAAAGTGCTAAAAAAACATTATTTCTGCCACATTTCTTATGAAGTCTTTCCCAGACTAGAAAGCCTAATACTCCCATCCATATGGACTTGGAGAAAGGGTAAGAATGAATGAACCTACAATTGAGTTAAGCATTAACTTCTCAACATTACTTCTTCCAATATTCACCATCACCATTTGCCCCCAAACAGGCCCATGTCAAATGTATATTAATAAAGTATTACAAATACAAAATTTCTACACCAAAACCAGCATTTGATGATGGCCTAAATATTTTTAATAAGAAAAATGTATTTTCATGTAAACACGGAAACAAAAGCTAAACATTTTAAAGTTCTGAATTTAGACTTCAACCAGAAATTCAGCAAAATAAGTCAGCACAACATAACTGGTATGTTCAAACTGAAGAAAAAAATTATCAAAAGCTGTCCCCCCAGAGTTCTTTTGTGGACCATAGAAATCTTTTTTTAAAAAAACAGTAAAATAATCCAAAAGAAATTACACAAAAGGACAAATGAAGTTTTTGTGACCTGCTTTGGGCATGTATCTCTAAAAACTCATTAAACAGTGTCTAGTTATCAAGGAAGATACAAGCACAAACAAATGGTTGTGTGTGTTTATTTTCGACTTTTAAAAAGGTATGCCAATTTATATGTGAAGTAGGCATGAGTCCTAGCACCAGACAAAAGCAAGGTACCTTCTATATATGTTGTAAAGTCTGACACTCTCCTCTTCACTTAGGAGTTATCCAAATCACTTAAAAGCATTCCTTGAAACTTCTCATCTGACCATTATCAATCTTTATAAGAACATTTCTTTCTAGAGTTAACACTAGAACAAAAAGTATTTCATAATTTTTTATTGATGGCATTTATCCCATGGTTTTACATGTTAATTATACTGTAATAAACATGGCTTTAATATTAAACTTTTCCTTATTATCCAAAGTCACCACAGTCCATTTCAGTAAATATAAAAATATATGCTTAATACTTTATACAATACTGGTTTTTGGTCCAAACAAAACTGGATCAGAAAAGCCAATAAATTCACTTTAAGAATCCCCAATTTTTTTTAAAAGATTTCCAAATGGATTTAGGCAACTTTGAATAATGGGATTTACATAATAAAATCTGAGACAAGACTAAACAAACAAAAAAAAATTTCTAACACAAAATTAAAATTTCAAGTTCACAGATTTATGTTATGCCGAAAAGGACAGAAACAAAATTGTATTTACACACGTTTCATAATAAAATAATGAAAAAGGCAAGACAGGTGATAGAAGAATGAAAATATAGAAATAGCATATAATTATTAAATGGAGAAGGAACTAGATCTAACAAGTCCTTAGCATGGACCATTCTTTAATCAGGCTTCCTCTATCAGAAAATTTTAGTGCACAATACACCCAATTCACTCACTTCACACATACACCAGCACAAACTCAGCATAGAAATCATTCATTTCGACATCCTCTAATCTATACAGGATTCCCCAGATATAATTACAATTTCAATGCGTTCCATAAACGCATATATCAACGCGCACAGCAGTGCACACAGAGGTTCTATACAAAGCCATTTGCTGAGCGGGCTCTATTCCTGGATTCAGCCAGCCTAAGCCAAATCAGTGGATAACTTGCTGGATCATAAAATGTTTTTGCTGAAGAATCAGTCATCAGTCTAGCTATTATTATTATTTTTTTTAAGGGTGGTGGGAGTTGAGGGTGGGGCTTCTGTAAAGAAAGGAAAAAGGAGGAAAATTCCAAAATTAAAGAAGTCCTTAGGCAGATCTGACTTCAGATAACCCCAACATGTAGTACAATCCAGTATGTGAAAGTAGGGCACCAGCTGTTGTTAAAACTGTTGTGTATAACACCACTGTGATCTTTATTTCCTGCGTCTAACAGCAGTCTTTATCTTGCGACCAGAAACTGAAGTTCCAGAAGAAGAGAACATATTTTTCCCATTTGACCTGTGAAAAATAAAAACTTCAAAATGTGACATGATATAGACAAAATTTTAGAATCATAGTATAATGCTAAATGTGACCAGTGACGAAGGCGTGGGGGTGGGGGGGAGACAATATTAAAGTAAACACATTTTCTATTGTAATACACACACAACCTCTCTGCTATTTTTCTCAGGCTATGATCCTTCAAAACTGCAATATAGTAAACTGATATTAGAGAACATACTTGATTTTACCTAAACTATACAGCACCTTTGTGATTTTTAAAGACAAAACACATATACATTCATGCATACGCATACACCCTTACACCATGTTAAATTCTCCATATCAACAAACAGTTCTTACCCCAGTGTAAATGCTGCTGATGGAAAGCCCCCTGAACCAGAAGGCTGGGCTGAGGCTGCAGGTGTGCTAGGATTTGCACCAAATGTGAATATTCCTGATGCATTATTGTTTGTGAAGCTGAAATTTGTAGCGCTCCTGGCAAACTGGAAAATTGAACCTATAATAGTTGAAGCAAAAAAACTTCATTAAGGTAAAAAATGAGTTTTTCCAGAAATGAATGACCCTTTATATACAAAACATAGTAAAGAATTAAGCGGAAGGAAGG